TCGATGTTGTTTGCTCTGTGGCTGTTTTCTTGTGAATACCAGTATGCTTGGTACTCGTACATGATTCAATCCCTTAACAACAATGAGATCTACCGAATGGCTCAGCAATTATTTTACATAGTAAGATAATAGAATTATCGTTCAGAGAAGCAAGCACACAGCGATGTTACTCAACTTGTTGGCATCAATCAGCATTCGCAAGGTGCATATTAACCGAATTTCAATAGGGCTATCTAAGGCAACATTTCATTGTTCATTTGAATTTGATGAGGTCAGCCCAAATTCCAAAGCCCCTAAAACCCAGGCAGTACATGTATAATTGAAATCAGATAGGAACCTATCCATACGGGTGAAGGGATGTTTAGCTTTACTCTCCGGGTGATGAGAAACGTTCACGGACCGCCAGGAGGTCATAGGTATCATTGACATGCCTAACGAGGTACAGTAATATGCATTTTGACAATAATTTACTGACTAGTGACGACCATTTCCCAAAAAACGAGTGTGAATTTTTTTATGTTGACAACTCTGAGGAATCAGCTCTGAGATTTACATATTTGAAGTCCACACTCATCAATCCATTACTTTGGGTCTTATCTTTGCGTTAACAAGATAGTTAACAATAGTGCTTCCTGAATCTGGAAAAGAAAAGGCAATTCTGTTCAGAGATTTCCCGTCATGACTTATAAAATTCGTTGTCAGAAAATTATTCTCTACTCAGACACAAAATGCACTTTACCACCTGCAGTTTTTCTTTTCTCGAGAAATAAAAATAAGATTTTGTAAAAATGTCATGTATGTGTAAAAAGGTGTGAATACTTGATGGTTTCAATAACTTGAGGAAGGTGGAGTTTGCACTTTTGGTTTAATTTTTCCTAAGAACCTCGAAAATATAAAGTACACCTTTTACTTGGTTTCAAAGAAGTCGCTTTTGGTAAGTTCTCATTCTCTCTAGATCATGAAAGAGTTGTGGATGCCAAAAACAGGATATCAGGGCGAAAGGTCACACAGAAAATTACACATTTTCTTGAAATCTGCGAGACCGTTTAAACTGCCAGATATTATATGGTTGAAGTTTGCCCAATTATGATGAGCCGCAAGAGGGATACTAAAATATTCAGAAGGTGTACTTGAAAGTCCGTTTGGAGCACTACAGAATACATTAAGGAATCGGAAGAAGAAGATCACGATGATGATTGACATTTCTTTCAACCTCAAGCACTACAATCCGGACGATCCCGTTGAAACTTCCTGAAAGTGACAAGATGATGATGTTAAAGAATGGTCATCTATGTTGAGGGAAACTAAATCTTCCCGTCCAGTTCTAAAACATGCATTTGCAAAGAGATAGGTCCCAGTTTGCCGATACCAGACAAAATGTGCGATACAAAATGGAGATCAGTGTTGACAGCAAATCTATTGTGCTCGATGGGGTTTATTTTGAATAGGCATTCATCGTTGATCACTACAATTTCAGTGGAGCAGAGAGATTAGGAGACGCTCACAACGCTGTTGGATGTGTCCGAACGCTGACCAAATGAAGTGGAGAATCTCCGGTTGATATGCGGATTGTCAGTTGAGGGCTGTATATAAGAAGAGTCAGAAACAACCAGGTATGAAACAAAATTATCAGAATGTGAATGATATATTGAGGGAGTAACGGGTAATCCTTTGATGTAGACCGTAAATGACTAGTAGAACAGTGTTGTTTAAAACCCGTAGGTTCACCGACGACCGTGTGAAGACAGTATTACTCATTTGAGTGTGCTTGATTCATCCGTAAATCAAGCTAGGTGATTCGTACAGGTGGATATCGAAATCAAAACATGTTTTCGAATCTACGATAAGAGACTTAATGGGAGATGGACGAAGTAACCAAAACAGAATTGTAAGGGAAGACAGCATATAAGTTAACAAAGGAAAACCAGAATGGATGTTCCGGACCTCGAAAACGATTGGTAGACACAGATGATGTTCCAATAAAGACACTACAAACCTTCAACTTAGTAAAAGTTTGTGATTTCTACAAAAAAAAAACAGAAAATAATCGGATAACGGATTTAGTGAGCCAGCAGAGCGACCACGGTGTGGACGCCAGTGAAGCCAGTCGTAGGTACATACATGAGCAAGTGCAAACGACTTGTATAGTTACCTCAGACCAGAGTGGTTCTGTATGAAGCGAGATTGCTTTGGTCAGCATGGTCTTAGCGGAAACGTGAATAATATCAGCACTGTTTACGTCCTGTCATGTTTGTGTCTATGCATTTGAAAAGCAGAGTACACTCATCGGGATAGGATCAAGCAAGATCCCATAGTATGAGGTTGCCTATCAAACAAAAGTCGACATAATAACACTTCTGGTGTTGACCCAATATATCATGGCTTGGAATTACGGTGTTGTGTTAACCATGCATTGTCAGCTGGATGTGATATTTCATTTTAAACTGGGCCCTTTGATCACTTTTGTTTCATGACTTATTGGAAAATAGTTTTTTTCTAGGGGAGAGTTAGATAACTTCTCTACTCATAGCGATTTTCGAACAACTTTGAGCTCTGTATTCTTCACATTACTTTTGAAACAATTTATATTACTCTATGTCCATTGATAGTTCCGTATGTCTCAACTTTCTGGACCGTTGCATTTCTGCTCTAGTATCTAGCACCAGCTTCTTTCTACCCTTCCCTCGCTCACGTTTTGATGCATAACATACAGCCAGTAGTTCCCACTTCGGACGCTATCAGTCAAACTGAGCGGGATTTTTGAAACAGCAAAATCACACATTGTATCGAGCTTAATTAGGCACACGTTTCGTTCCTTAAACCAGTCAGTTAGACAATCCTCAGTGTAGATGAGGCTCACAACACCTGGTGCAGGGCGAATAATATACCAGAAGATGACCCACCCAAAGACAGTCTATAGCCTCAAAACCTGTTTCTGATCGTTCTGTTATTTGGCGATCCAGAAAAAATTCCAAACGTATACATCGGAAGAAAATGCAGTCAATTTCTCCAGTTCAGAACAAAAACCCAGAAAAGATTACACTGTGAACAAACGGATATCGTGACACGAAACAATTGTATTTATCAGCAACCTTAGATGGGTGAACAGCGAGACCCCTCAACCGTCCCAGTTTCTCTTTTTTTAGGCATTGGACAACCTCCAGAAGCACACAACTGGAATGACCTAAGAGAGTGAGTGAGTCTAGAAACAATCAGTGATTGATTGTGCAGATGAGAATGACAACATGTAATAACTCAATTACCATCCCACTTTCCTTATTTTCTCACGGTGTACCAAGAAAGTCAAGGTTAGTGTGATGCAAGGTGACGACAATTATTGAGCATAATCATCACACAAGGAATATAAATAAGCTGAAGCTGCACTCTGATAGGAAAGTGTTAAACACTTGTCTACCAGTCGTGTGTTTTCTAAGAACGATGGAAAGTTGGGTGTCTGGACTATTTTGTCTTTTCTTGGTTCAAATGCCCAAGAAGTAGCGACGCGAGAAAAACTGAATCAGATGTTACACTGGCACAACGAGTTCAGGAGAAAGGTGTTAAACTGTCAATTGAAAGGGCAACCTCAAGCCAAGACAATGCCAGATATATTAAGTTATATCCCATTCATGCAAGGATATCCAGTCATCTACTCAAGTAGATGCACTCATTCAGTTTCGTAAATAAATCAGTTGAATTACGGGAGCCAATCCAAGTACAATGATTCTTTTGAACGAAAATTTGATGTTATTAACTGACTCTCATAAAAGTCCAGAGACAATTCCATTGTGAGGCCTATTGGTTTCTCCTCTTGCAAACAGATCGAACACGTTACCGATACATTGAGTCCTTCTCTTTGTTACGCGATGATCAATATTCTACTATATCAAACGTCGTTCTTTTCGATCAACGGTTTCTCCCACCTCTGATACTAATTGAAATATTCACAGTGCGAAACACCGACAGAAAATCAAAACTATAATGAAATGTCGTAGTTCTGAATAAATCCAACACGAGTTTGACATAAACCACGCAATAAGTGGTCAGATGTCCACAAATGTAAACTTGATTTTGAATTTTGTATAGTTCTGATGGTTTGTCCTTGATGGTTTTCCATAGCTGAGATGGGACAATAAGAACTGTAACTTTCAATGGAACTACCGTAACATTCGTAACCTTAATGAACAAGTGTGATCACATTTATACTTTTAGATTTATGATGCTGAATTGGCTGCAAAGGCGCTACAGTGGGCAAGCAATTGTACAATTGGCCACGATGCAGACGCAGGTCGGGCTACCGACAAGTATCCATCCGTAGGTCAGAATTTCGCTGCAAGTTACAACTTTCAACAGTAAGTCTTCTTGAGTGCTTGAGAGGAATACTAGAAAATGAATGAGCAGTTCATGGCTGTCAAAGTGCAGAGGAAGAAGATGCCTCATATCACAACTGCCATCAATCATCATCCTTTTCTGTTTCATTCACTCTCCAGAGGATTCAACGAGTGGGTCAATGAAAATGTGGATTACAATTTCGACGGAAACTCGTGCAATTCTGGAAAAATGTGTGGCCATTACACTCAGGTTATCTCTTTTTCAAGTTTGTCTCCACGAATCGATCTGTTGCACTCGTGTTTCATACCAGCCCAAAAAGTCACGAAATTTATGCTTTTGTGATACTCGACATTTATAATCAAGACGGGAGATGGATGAACGAAATCTCAGCCCGAGAACCTATTAGAATCCTAACTTAACGTGACAACGGGGTGTAATGGAGTTAGTGGCCATGTAAGACATGGTTTGTTGAGATGTTCTACATCGTTCCCATTGATAATTTATCCAACTCACCTTAGGACATCATTCAAATCCATGAATGGGAAACAATCTATATACCAAGCTATTTTTCCACTCTCACGCAGTCACACACAGCAACTGTCGTTCGGTTCATAAATCTCCAATTGAGTACCACAGCGAACAGGAGTATCAATTATTTTGCCGGTTTTCCTCTGGTGAGTGGAAGAATGTTTATGTTCGATCGAATTCAATTTAGTCGATGCGTAAAACAAGTAGAACTTCTATATTGTACAAAGTAGCAGTTTTGGTGATGTACAAATTTATTGGAATTCAGAAACTTTTGTCTACTTTTGTTATCTCACAGGTGGCTTGGGCCAGTTCAAAAGCACTAGGATGTGGCTACAAGAACTGTCTCAGCAATCCCAGTTTCCTTTATGGTAATGCGATAGTGTGCAATTACGGCCCAGCGTAAGTCGATTCATATAATAAATATTTGATTCGGTGAAGTTTTGTTCTCCTTTTCAGTTGAAGAAATAATATTGATGTGTGAATTAGGAAAACAAGATAGTTACATTTTCACATTCAGTTCATCCTCAGACTAATAAAGTTGAATTCGTTGGTAATAGAAAGAAACGTAACCGTGGGATAAACTTGGTTTTATGCAATGTTAAAGAAACAGAGTGGGTGAGAAAGAACATGGGAAAGGTTAGGCACGGTCTTCCAAATACAGCTTACCACCGGACACCAACTTACTGTCGTCAGTCAAGGTAGGTGAATCGTTTATGTACGTTTGCGTCGCAAACACAGATTCGGCAATAGGATACAGGTGTCGTGTGTGTCGATGGTTGTACACGTAAATAACGTTATACATATAACATTACACTTGCATGAACATATATATATATATATATATATATATTTATATGTATATATATATATATATATATAGTGCTGGTGGTGGTGGTACGCGCCCCGTAATCAGCACAACGTCAAATTGTTACCATTCAATTTGGCTGGCTGTGAAACCGGTTCTAAATATTTATCTCAGATTCGGCATTCAGAAAAGCATATGCTACATGCTCATGAGGGTCAGAATTTTCAGCAGTAGAAGTGCCAATATTGATAACAATTTCTTAATCCCTTTACTCAGTATACTGTAACTGTACCATATTTCACCAAGAAGGTATGAAGGTGAACCAATAAGAAAAATTAAGGCCGCAGAGGTCCCGGAACTTAAACCTGGTTCTTCAAGGTCTGCGGTCTGCTATGAAGACTGCTCGACCACCATTGGTTGGTAGTTGAAATGAACGACACAAGTTCTCACAGAACGCGGCTCAAACGGAACAGAGTGGGAATAGGTATATTTATCGCAATTACTTCCAAGTAATGTGTGGGATTGGTGAATCTTTGCTTAGCTGACTGTCCTTTGCACTCCACTTTTCACGCAAAAACATCAGCTCTTCCCATCAACCTGCACTCGGAAGCACCAGACTCAAACTTTAGTCTTTTTAGAGCTTATCAGTGGTGCCTATTCTCGGCTACACTCAGGGTTTGAACCCGGACCTTTTTATCTCGAAGGCCTGTATGTTGATACTGCACCACCCGGTTCTCCTCCGGGCTGATCCTTATTACCAAGTTGAACTTGTTCAGATGTCGTCCTCTATGACAGTCAGAAATGGATGACAGCTTTAAATTGAAACAAGGTATCTGTCCCGTTAACTCCAAGCGAATGCTTGGTGCTTCCGAGTGTACGGTTAGTTGGGTGACCTGAGGTTTGTAGTTGAAAGGTGGAGTACAAAGAACATCCAGCCCAACGGAGTGGGAATCCACAATAATTTTTAATGTTTGCTGTTCAGTATGCTGATTTTGACGTAGTTGATTGGCTGACCATTGTTTTGTAAATTTCTCAGAGGAAATTATAACGGTCAGCGTCCTTATGAAAAAGAACAACATCGTCAATACCCACCTGAAGGACAAGCAACAACAACAACAGCAACCCCGACATCGGGAGCAGAAACAACAGATAACAATACAACCAACAAGGGCAACTAATCCAGACTCCAATGGACTTTCCGGACACAACTGTACGCAATAGGGACATGTTAGCTCACGATCTCCCAAGATCTCCTGTGATTTGTTCCACACCTGTTCCTCTTTTCCGGAGAAACGTGAGAAATAGAAGGACACGCCCTTATCATGTTATGACAATATTGTTTTTGCGATAATAATGGCAATCCATTATTAACTGATACAACACTAAAAACTAACACAAATTATTCTCGAATATATTTGCTCAGTCACATACAAGCCTGTCTACGACAGCTATCGTGTGTTTGTTGTGATGCAATAAACAAGATCACGTGTTCCCTCCACTTTGTCTTTTGTTTCCATTTTGTCTCGAGGTTGAAGTACCTGACCATTTTGGGTATAACTATCTACGGCGTAACTGTTCACGTAGTTGTTCGATTTTGTTCAACTTCTGAAATAAGTCAAAATTTCTGGTTATCATTCTTCAAGAAAAAGTCACAGATTGTGATTCTTGCTTTCTCTATGTTCAGGCTTTAAACCTGGGGCACTGATTAGGCCCTCCAAAGTGCACATACAACATAGTATCCTGTTGATTATATTCCAAATACCAACCACAAACACAACTCAAATAAAATGTTCCTTTCTTTGCACGTTATGCGCTTCATCTGACTAGCACTGCAGGCCTGAATAATAGACGGAAATAGTCCTCCCTAATTCATTATGTTTTTTGCATTTCTTCAATAATAAAAAATGCAAGCGGATTTCTGATTATTACAAGGTTCAAACTCCTCGTGCAAATAAAACATTCCTTGAATATATGGTTCAATTTCCGCTAGACGACATTCAGCCGTGTGCTGTTTTTTCAATTATGAAGATCTCGAAAAAGTTAGCCGAGTGAATAAAAGCAGGGCAGCTATTGTATCACTGGAATAGTGGTTTGTGCATTATTGGATATTCATTTGCGCTATTCACACCCGACTGACCAGACCGAGGTAGACTAGCTAATAAAACATTTGTCCGGCTAGCAAAATGCCGCCGGTATGATTCCGGCTAGATGCTTCAGATTTTCGGATGTAACAAATGCAAGTGGATTTTCCATTGCGTACCAAATTGAGAGCAAACTAAAGATGACTCACAGAATAAGAAAGATGAATTGGGATTCAAAGCTGTCTCTGCACGTGCTTGTGAAATCGATCCCACTGAGGAGTGGTCAATTGATTCCCCACATGTTCGGAACAATAGTCGGGCCAAGAGAGTTTTAGTGGTTGCACAAATTGTCTCTGAGTACAAAAGGGGAGAGCCACGGAGGTGAATAGTCACGGTTTCGACTGAGGTTAAGATGCGACGCTTGACACATCTTGGTGGCTTTTCCCAGACATTATAAATTGTAATCAATGAGTTTATCATCACCATTGAGTGTTTTGATCCCATAAGGTGTGGGCATACCTTGCTCGTAATAGTCCTTATTGTTCCTATGTTTAACAAATCTATGTGCTGTTTACGAAAGTGTCTGGATAAACACCTGAACGTACGATCAATGAACCTAGTTCCACAGAAAGAAGTGAATGAATGCACAGAGAAAGAGGCTGTAGAATCTGGCAATCTGTTCTCCAAATGAAAGCACACAAAGAGTTTGATGCAAACAAACTTTCCAACTGCTCGACATGTACGGTTCTACTGACCGTTCCTGACAGTCTTGGCTGAATGATCTCGGCCTCCGTATCACATCTGAGTGACATTAAGACGTATACAGACTTCTTTGTGGTTCTTGTTTCTTTCACCTCTCGTCATTTCTTTGCATTGCCTTGCCAGTTAATCGTTCAGGATAGTCATTCTGTACTAGAAAATTCGGCAGAAGAAGTTTGTTTTTACTGTCTTCAGTGCACACTTATTTTGCTCTTCCGGACAAGCAAGGTAATAGATTTCTCTTCATTTTGTTTAGAGCATTACTGTGAAACTAGATGTATTACCTGTTCCACATTGCGTTCCTATGCACTGCTAACGGAAAGGAGTATTCAACACGACGGCTCAGCACATTGTTCTCAATAACAAATTATTGAGCATACGGACCGTGGAAATCACCGACAGGAGTTTGGCAAAATGATGTGCGCGCCGTAACGTCACGAGCTGGACCCAGCCGAAAGTGGTTTATCGGTTTGTCGTGAGGGCTTGAACTGACTTAGATGGAATTCAGACATTTACCCTTTCGAGTTTGTCAAGATTACCCCGGGGCTTGCCGTCAGAGCAATCAATTGGTGGATCTGATTTCACGGAATAAAGTGGGTGACAAAGTGACAGTAAAACAACATTGATGGGTGAGAGCCCCATTTGCTCGTAGTCATACCGGCTTCGAGTTCTATTATGTACTCTTTTTAAATGTATGTGGTTATGTAATGGAAATTCCACTTGTAATTTTCACATCGAGAAGTCGATCTCCGCAAGCTAGAATCAAATCGGCCGGGCAAGCTCAGAGGTCGAAACCAGAAGAGTTGTTGTGCATGTTTGGAATAGTGGATTTAGCGCCATCGATTTTTCACTTGCGCTGTTCGCACCCGACTGTCGGCACGGCGACAGGTCAGTTGGTAGAGCACCTGCCCAGCTCAATATCCGCTCGCGGCTTTCTATTTTCGACGTAAAAAAAGCAAGTGAATTTTCCATCACCTAAAACTTAGACTCGTCGTGCCAGTAATACATTCCATGAATATATAGTTATCTTGGATCCAAAACAGTAGTCTTGTATCTGCGTAATTCGTTTGAGTTGGTCTGCTTAAGACAACAGCAGTCGAGCGTATCATGGATGTTTATTCGTTGTTTCTGTGGATGCTTTCAATACACGCATTTCAACTAAGACGAACAGAACATCTACCAATATTTGCCTCAACTGATTCAACTGTGCTTTCTCTCCAATTGTCGGGTTTATCTAATGTTGTTCGGTCCTAGCAAATATACCACTGCTACTCTGAATTTTATTCCAGGGAAAGGATAAAACTGAATTCGGACTACATTGAACTTCCTTGGTGAAAAACTCTCAGTAACCTCCAGTAAAAACACGTGTCCTATCAACAAAACTACCACTAATATTCAGCATCGAAAAGTGGCCATGTTTCGAGATGGCAACAGCGAAGAATGATTACTGAGCTCAGTACATACATGGTCACTAGACTGTTGTCGCACTTCACTACAAAACTGTGCGTGATCACGTCAATGCCTCTGACAACCGTGCGTTGTGCAGTTCACTCATCACTCAATATGTTGCAGTGCACGCGCTCCATCTGAGCTGCACATAGTTACACTTTATCCTATGGAAACCGCTCCGTCGATGGATCGATGTCTTTAGCTTCGACCAAGCGAGGCTTTTTAATTCCAGCTGTCTATCCTTCCAATTTATTCTTTTGCGGCCAAACTATGCTCATGTAGCTCATCGATCTCATTCCTATACCTCAACTAATATCGTTTTTTCCACATCCTTCCTTGTCCTCCCTTCTCACGTCTCAAGCTTTTACGCACCAGTGCCACTCACAACTACGCCCAAATCCCATGTAACTACCCACCATTTTCATTTTCGCCTCACTTCATTCATGAAACTGCTTGCTGGCATGTAGCTCTCCAGCTCCATCGTCCCATTTCCGCTACGCATATATTCCTTGTGAGCACTGTTCCGTCACGGATTTACTTGCCCTGTTGCCTCTGTTCTCCTCAGACTTCATCCTGTTTCACCTGTAGTAAAAATACCTGAATGATCATCTCTTAACTGTTTCTCTTCGGTCAGTTTTCTCACCTCCTGTTTTATATATCGTTCGCCACAGGCATCTTTTCTGCGCTCCTCGGATTGCTCGGCTTTTCCACATTCCACCTGTTATACAGAAAACGTTACATCAAGAATTTCTTGTACAGTTACAAACCATATGATCTGGCTTTTCTAAGTCTTTCTGATCTTTCATTTCCCCATTCCTTTCGTACGTTGTTCTCCGTCACAACTGCTACATTCTTGAACCACATTCCGTTTTACCTTACAGATGCCTTTCCCTGCTGACAGTCCACACTACTCCGACTAATTTACCTCTCAGATACACTCAGTCTATTTGTCATTTTGGCGTTTGCATTCACCGAATACAAGTCAGAAGAAATCAAAGTTAACTTTTACTGAAAGCACCCCAACTTCCCACGTAAAGTGAGTCTGTCTGAAATCGTGATTTTGGTAGGAGATATGAATGTCACTGTAGGAAGGCTGTCATCGGACGAGGTTCAATTCGGAAGCTCTTTTGGACTGGATTCCAGTCGCTCAGTAATCTGGTAATGGTTTTTGCATCGTGCTCTGAACGTCGTTTATCGGCCGCCAGTATGCACTTCAGACGTTACAACAGCCGATGCACCACATGACCTATACCTTCTTTGAGTCCATGGTGGACCCAAGTCGACCAAATCGCTATGATCTACAAATGGCGGAGTTGCATACAAGCCTGTCGACTGTAAGCAGTACCTCTGCTGGGTTTGATCATACAGTATTTGCACTTAGTTGCCCACGTGCTTCGGTGGGCGATCCAAAAGCACGCTTTCCAATCCATCCCAACTATCCGTCTTCCTAAAGGCGCTAGTTGAAGTCTAGAAAAAGCCACACGTGATAACATGAGCAAGCTTTTATCGATTATTAAGAATGCTTTGCGTTTCGCTGGCCCAGTAGTTTGTGGTTGGTTTCGTCGTGCAGTAAAACCCTGGATTACAGCTGATTATCTGTGATTTCCCGAAGCATGCCAGTAGATATCAGCTGAAGGAGCAGATACTGGTACTCTTTCCAAAGTGATCCCTCCACTTTCACTTTGGTGGCTCGAACATATTTTGCGAATGCCTGTCCATCGTCTACCTTTTCGTGCTCTCTTCATGCTTGTTGGATAAGGCTGGAGGAAGCGATGCGGTAGCCAGACCATGACTACCTGGCTGAAGTCCACGGGATGAGGATTGCCGTTGGTTAGAGACGTTGAGGGGAACAAATTAGAATGGGTCAGTGGCTTGAATGCTCTACGGTT